GATGTGTGTGTCTGCGTGGGGCTCCTTGTGTGTGTGTGTGTGAGGGTCCCCTTGTGTGTGTGTGTGAGGGGCCCCTTGTGTGTGTGTAGCTCCATGCGTGGGGCCGGTGCAGCGCCCGCCGTGTCTCAGCCTGTCCTCCTGTTCCCCAAGATCTGTGTGGCCCCAGCGAGGACAAGCAGAAGCCCAGTGCCCCGGGGGAGGTGCTGTGTTACAGCGACCAGAACGACAACCTGGAGATGAAGCCCCATTCCTACCTGGAAGCCATCTGCAGCGGGCTGGAGGAGCCGGCGGGGGGCGGCTGGGGCGCCGAGGGGGAGCAGCTCTGTCCCTACGCGGCCGCCGGCGCCTGCCACTTCGGGGAGCGCTGCCTCTACCTCCACGGGGAGCTGTGTGAGATCTGCGGGCTGCAGGTGCTCCACCCCTTCGACCCCGAGCAGAGGAAGGCCCACGAGATGGTGAGGTTGACAGGAAACCCGGGGGAGATCTGCTTTGCTCAGGGCAGGGCTGGGACTGTTCCCTCTAAAATCCCCGGGATGCGCTGAGTGGAAGAACCCATTCCCAAGAGCTCTTGTTTTGTTGTGGATCAGCTATAAAATGATTCTCAGAGTGGTCTGTTCTAGCATCTGGGTGGTGATGATGCAGGTAGCCTTTTCCAGGAGCTTCTTCCTATTTCATCCTGACTGGAAATTTGCCTGCAGCCTTCTCCCAGGACACCCCAAAACTGTACCAGGAGAATGTCTCTTGTAGCTTAGCTGGTGTCTCGTGGTGTGTTAAGCACAGCAGGGAGGGGAGCTGTGGGCTGCTGGGGCCTTCTGAGGGCTCACCCTGCCCAGCTGCTGAGTCGTCTCCTCTTGGCTGTGGCTGATTTCAGGGCAGGGTCAAGCAGAGACAGGCTGAAGGGAGGACAAAGGTTTTGGAGCTGAACTTGAGGTAGGATGGCTGGAGGGACCGGATGAGGAATTGGCTGCGTAAAGCTGGGCTCAAGGGGCTGCTCTTTGCCTGGCTACCAGGTTTAGGTCAGGGCTGGTCAGTGCAGGACTTCTCAAGGCTGAGGAGGAGAAAGACCAGCAGCCTTTGTGGTCAGTGAATCATGAGTTTCTCTAGAGTGGAGTAGAATCCAAGGGGTTAAAACCCTCAGGTTTAGTGCAGGCAGGGAGCTGCTGGATACCTGGTGTCCTGTCACTGCTAAGCTCTGAAAGCAGGAGGAGGAGCTGCATGAGTCAGAGTGCTGCTACCAAGGTGGAATTATTTTGCATCTTTTTCATTATTATTGTAATTTAAAGTCTTAAATTTCTTTTCCCATGTCAAGTCCTGAGAACTTTGAAAAGCAAGAGGTAAAACTGTGCAGGTGTAACCACCAGCTGCTTGTAGTGCTGTGAGAGTGTGAGCTGGTTGTGGAAGGTCATGCTGGGGTGCTGTTGGTGAGAAGGGGTGCAGGAACCCCTGTCACACCAGACTAGGTCCTTAGCTGGGGCACAGCTTAGTCTCCAGTGAGTGGCTGTGGCCTTACTGTGAAGCAGAGTAACATCCTGAGTGTGGCACCTGTTCTGGACCCTGAATTAGGTAGTTTAGGGGCATTTGAAGCATCTTGTGCAGTAGCTTTTTTGAGACAGACAGCTGGAAAGGGCAAAATGAGGAGTGCTCAGGCAGCCTTATGTCTGATACTCCTGAAGCTGATGAGAACACTCAAGGGCTGAACTATGTGATTGAATTCAATGTTCTCAAAACTAAATCCTGACAGTGAGGGGTAGGAATGATGCTCTCAATCAGTGCACCTTGTTTCCCCTGCAACAGCCCTTTCACAGCCACCTTTGCTTGACAAGGCTCAAGCTGACATGTGGCCTGCAATCACCAGTGGTGTCTCTCCCTGACAGATGTGCATGGCCACCTTTGAGCACGACATGGAGAAGGCCTTTGCCTTCCAGGCAAGTCAGGACAAAGTGTGCAGCATCTGCATGGAAGTGGTGTATGAGAAGCCCTCGGCCTCTGAGAGGAGGTTTGGGATCCTCTCCAACTGCAACCACACCTACTGCTTGTCGTGCATCCGGCAGTGGAGATGTGCCAAGCAGTTTGAGAACCCCATCATCAAGTAAGTGGGTGTGACCCAGGGTCTGCTCCCCGGGGCCTCTGTTGGTGAGGGGGGCTCTCTGCTGTGCTTTGACTTGACACAGAAACCAAACTGGTAGTGGGGGATTTTAACACAGCCTTTGATACCAGCTGAACTCAGAAAATCCTGGTCCCAGTGCTGGCAAATCCCAGGACGTTGGAGTGTGGCTCTGAGAACCACCTTCAAGACCTGTAGGACACCAGGGGTACCCTTTGGTGGTAGCATTCACTGACTGCTGCTGGATGGGAGGGGCTTGGCTCTGTGTAACTCGACCCCTCCTGCCGTGCTGAGGGTGGGACAAGGTGCACAGATGTGGACTCTGAGCCCTCTGAGCCTGTGTTGGAGCCCCTGACTCCTTGTCTGTGCATGTGCTTAGTTACTGGATTTTTCTCTAGGCTCAAGCTCAGTGTCCCACTCATCACACATTGATCGGTGTCTGAGTAAATGCCTTCCCCTTCTAGCTCTAAGAAACATTCTACTCCTCAGATGAGAGAATTTAAAACATCCAATTAGGGCAATTTCCTTTTTTGAGCATCTCTCTGAAAACTCTCAAGTGACGAGCATGCTGAGGGAAAGGTGGGGAAATATTTTCAGTCTTCTGCCAAAACAGACTTTTCTGCACAACTTCCATTATAAATTTCATTAAACTGAACATCAGCTCCTGAGGACACAACCTCCAGCTCCTGTTGGGCAGGTACTGAGATGTTCTGCCTGCAGCAGGGACTGTGAGAGGGATTTTTTCAGAAACAGTGTCCTGGAATTTGTTTGGGATTCAATGCTAACAGAAATCCTTCCAACATGGTTTTATTTTACATTTCTCCCTAATAGTGAACACACAGAGTTGGAGTAAAGGAGGGACTTGGCTCAGTTCTAAAAGCTCTGCCTGCTGGGAGACAAGGTGTTCAGTGGGTAATAAAGGCTTGTTGAGATGCCTGAACCTGCATATTTGATTCTTGATCTTAGCTCCTCATGTAGAAATCAGCCTCCTAAAACCACCAAGTGAACAATTCCCTCCTGCTGGCAGAAGCCAAGTCACATTTCAGAGGGCTTGGAGACCTTCCTTTGTCTTCTTTCAAGCCATTTGGCTTTCTGCTGCAGGGCTCACAGAAGAGTTAGGGTTTCTTTCTGCCCGTTGGGAATAGCAGCTGTTTCCTGCTGTGTCTTGAGGACAATCCTGTGGCTTTTGTTCAAGTCTGGAAACCAACACAGCATCACACAGGGCCCTGACTGTGCTTGCTTGGGTTATTGAATTGAAACTAGTAACCAATGTGGTGTGAGGAGGGGGGTGCTGCTTCCCAGTGACAAACTGTTCCCAGGGGACACTGCTGTTTCTGGCAGAGGGTCACTGTTGTGTCTCCACCCATGCAGGTCTTGCCCACAGTGCCGTGTGATCTCCGAGTTTGTCATTCCCAGCGCCTACTGGGTAGAGGAGCAGGAGAAGAAGAACGAACTGATTGAAGCGTTTAAGCAGGGGGTGGGGTAAGTTCGATGACCACAGACACTGTTCCCCTCCTCCTGGAGACAGACACACAGCCCCAGGCAGGGGGAGTGCCTTCGTTTTCAAACAACCTGTTCTAGAGAGAACTCTTAACCCCTGTTAATGCTTTTATTTAACTCCCTGACTGTCAGGAAAGGGTTTGTGCTCTGAAACACTGAAACTCTTTCAGTTAATTTACCAAAATTGGCTTTGTGCCTTCTCTATGGATCCGTTCAACAGAACTGCCTAAAAGGTTGTGGGTTACTGAGGAAAGCAAACAGGGAAGGAAGATCTGATGGTTGCTTGACAAGTGGGGCTGTATTAATATAGTCCTCATATTTTGATTCACAGAGTCTTTGACTTGAGGGTAGGAAGTTGCCCCCAGAAACCTGTGCTAAGTGCAGTGTGTGATGGCCAGGTTCTCAGGGAGGTGAGCTTTGGAACAGAGGTGCTGGGCAGGGCTGGAAGTGGGGTTGGGTCTTGTCAGCCTGGTGTATGAAAGAGAAGAAAAACACATTGTCTTGTAGGTAGAATTTCTGTACCAAGGAGTATAATGTATAATGGGTCTCTTGGCAGCCAGGGTAACTTGAGGATTTAGTCTTGCATGGAATGAAATAATGCTAATAAAGGGGAAGTTAATGTAAGAGCAGGGGTCATGCCAGCTCAGATCCATTCTGATTTGTATGCCAGGGTGGGGTGGAGAAAAAGTCCAACCTAGACGGGTGGAAGTCACAGACCCCTCGTGTTCCAGACCAAGGCAAATTCATTCTGCTTTTAGTGCACTGCCTGGTTGGGTGTTTGTTATTTTTTGTTATTGTTGAGCTTTCTTCCTAATTTAATTGCTATTTGACAGACTGTATCTATGCCTGAGGAACTAGGGCATATTAAGTTTGCAAGTCCATTTTCTCTGCAGTTTTCCTCTTGGTTTCATTGTAGAACAACCCACCAACCCCTCCCCACAACCTCTGCAAGGAACATCTTTATAGAAATCTACTACACCAGCTTGGTTAACAACAAAGCTGATGGAAACTTAAATTCAAAGTATTGTCATCAACTTCCAAAGGACCTGACAAGAGAAACTGGTTCATAATAGATGTAGTGGTAGAAAATACATGGGAGGAATGCTAGGAACATACTAATGGGTTTGT